ACAGTAAAAATGAAAAAAGAATATAATAACATAAAACGATTCAAGAGATTCTCCACTGGGTACATTTAAGCACGAGACCGCTTGAATTTTTACCACATTACTCGAGGTTAAAACCTCTTCAGTTCATTGCTTGTGGTTTTTTGTACGGTTCCCTTGAGCTTATATTTACTTATATATGCATACAAAGGGTGATTTTTTAGTCATTATCTTTTTGACAATAGTGATTTACACAGCTGACGCACATTTCGTGCATTTTGTCACTGTCAAAACATCTTCAGCGACGAAGCTCATTCTTGCCTTAACAAACAGAGTTGTCGATTTTGGAGTGAAGATCGGCCAGAAGCATTGCAAGAGCTACTAACGCAGCCAGAAAAGTCATAGCTTGGTGGGGTTTATGGGCTGGTGGCATCATTGAATGATGCGAATCGTAACGTAACGGTGAATGGTGAGCGCTACCGTGAGATGATATCAAACTTTTGTTCGCCCAAAATGCAAGAGCTTGACTTGCATGACATGTGGTTTCAACAAGCCGGTTTCACATGCTACACAACACGCGTAACTGTGGACTTATTGAGAGGCGAGTTCGGTGAACATTTTATTTAACCTTCGGGATCGCTCTATTAGCCGCCTAGCTCGTGCGATTTGACGCCTTTCGATTAGTTTTGGACTAAGTGGATAGACCATTTGAGGCGCTGTCACGGTCAACATTTGCATGGAATAATCTTCAAACATTAAATTATATGGACAGAACTATCGATTAAAATATAGATTTCATGAATTTTTCTCAATTTTATGTGTTTTTTTTAAACTTTCCTAAAGCTCTTAAAAATCAGTATTACAAATAACTCTGTCTATCTTTAATCTTTGAAAATAATTTGTACTCCGTCCTTCCATTTAAAATAGCTTACTTCGCTGCCTTTAACTTATCAAAAGCTGCGCTGCTCTATTGAGGGGGTGAAGCGAATTTCTTCGGTGGTTTGAGGTCTAAGGATAATATTCTCGAGATGTTGAAGGATTTAATAACAAAGCAAAAAAAGTTCACGCTCTTGAAACTGTGGAGCCCATATTACCCTTGGACAGGCTACGATGCAAACAGTTCGTAATTATCATTGAGCCGAGCAGCCTAAAAGTTTTACACATTTTTTCAGCCGCTGTAGCAAAGTGTGCAGAAGGGCTTGTAGTTATGCGAATAGTTATGAGTTGGTACACTGATCGGACGAAAATCTAAATACAGGGTCAACGTTACAGGGTAGTTTTTAAGAGAAATCAAAAGCAACTAATTTTTTCAGCCGCACTAGCCTGACCAGAGAAGCTGTAATTGCTTACAGCTATTCTAAAGGTCAATATTCAAGTCCTGTTTCAATCAATATCCAAAAGTATAAAAAATAGGTTTTTCTAATTGCAGTCAATCCTCGGGCATGCCAAGCCCTTCGCGTATATGTCTGAAATGAAGTATTTCTGAAATTAAAATAATAATCCAATGGCCCTTCAGAGGCGGCTTAGAATAAATTGTAACCCTTCCCCTTTTTTGATAAAACACCTAGAAGCATCCCACTAATTGGAGGAGGAATTCTATTTAGTTTATGGGCTCAATACTGTAAACGAACGTCTAGCACAAAAGTGGTTTGCTAAGTTCCGTTCCGGTAATTTCGATGTCAAAGATACACCACGCGTCGGGAGGCCTGTCGTTGAAAATTGCGATAAAATCATGGAAATAATGTAAACAGACCGTCTCGTGAGCACTTACTTAATTGCTGAGGAACTAAAGATAAGCCTGAAAACCGTTTGGAACCATTTGCATAACCTTGGATTCAAAAAGAAGCTCGATATTTGGGTGCCACACGAACTAACGCAAAAACACATGATGGACCGAATTTCCCTCTGCTGTCGCTGCTGAATCGCAACAAAATCGACCCACTTCTGATGCGGATAAAAAATGGGTCACTTACAACAACATCGAGCGCAAACGGTCGTGGTAAAAGCCCAGGGAAGCGGCCCAGACGTTGGCCATAATCGGATTGTCGACCAAGAAAGTTTTGCTGTGTGTTTGATTGGATTGACAAGGAATCATCTACTACAAGCTGCTCCTCTATGGCTGCTATAATTGACGCTTTGTAACCGCTGAAGTGATCTTCCGCCGAGCTCCTCCTCCAATTTGTGGTTTTGCGTCTTGATGTTTTTCCCACAAAAGGTGGAACCTTCATTTTGATGCTTTTTTGAGAGGAGCCTTTATTTCGTGTCATAAGTACACTCGGAGGTGTTGACATTCCCTACCTAGAGGCGACCGTTATTAGAAACTGTAATTTAATTTTTTATTTAAATTAGTTATCTATAATTTTTAAATGTTATTGGCACCGAGTGTATTAAAAATACCATGGAATATAGGCCCATTCAAACATATTTAATAAACTTTTTTTTATTTTTGCACAGGATTACATACAATTATGAGCATTTTTTGCCAAACAATTATTCAATCGTATCCGAAACTCAATTCCTGTTTAACATAATTATTTTTATTGAAAGCAGGTATTGTTCTTAATAAAATTAGGTCTTAATAAAAAATTTTCGAAGGACATAATAATTTTTTTTGATAATTTTTTATGTAAAAGTGTCAGGAATATTTTTCCGGCGTTTCAAGTCGATCGCGACGAAACCGAAGAAATTAGAGAGTTTTATAACCCGCCGTCCCCGTGTCACGGCTTGACCAATGGTGAAACTTTAAACGCGTTCTTCTTAAAACCACTTTATTGAAACCGGTAGTTAAAATTTCTCAACGAGTTTTGAAGCGATCGAGTACAAATTTTCCACATTTCTTTTGAGCATTTTTTTGTAGTCTTTGAACGAAGGATTTGTTTTATCTTTGATTTGAACTCATTTTACAAGCCAATATGTGGCCTAATTATATGCAAAAAATTACATTTTTTGTAAAAAACCCTACAAAAAAATGAGTTTTTATTTTTTCTTTAATTCTTCTTAGTTCAGGGACAGATAAAAATTGAAAAAGTTATCATGACTACCGCAAAGGCACTTTTTTGTGAACGGTCTACTTCACGACACTCATACTATTTTTCATTAAAATTATAATCAAATGTTACCCACATACTTGTGTACTTATATTTGTAAACAAAATAAGGTGTATACTTTATTAGTATCTTTTAAAAAAATTAGAAAAAAAAGTTTTTTTTTTGGCCTTGAAGTCCTTTGTAACCCCTTAAGAAGGAAAAGGCATTGGTGCTGTAAATGATGACTTTTGTAAACTTAAATTTTTATAATCTTGTAAGAGAAAGAAGAATTTTAAGTAATAAAACAAAACACGAAAACATTGTTAACCATTTAAAATAAATAAAAAGTGCAATCTACGTGCAAGTCTGCAACGATCGGATGGAAATTGCAAATAAACGAGTTGTTCAAATCAAAATAGTACGTACAAAAGAAGTTATTTGAACTCTGAATTGCTTCATACACTATACACTCCCTCACACACAAATACTACGTACTCTTTGAGAGCCATAAAAATAAGGGAAAAATAGAAATAAAGCTGCATAACTGGCATCAAAACGTTTATGTATGCAGGACGCATATAGTTTTTGCTAAGTTGCAAATCCTTATAAGATGATCTCGCACCAGCACGAACCAGCAACGCCCACACATGCCGGGCAGCGCCGGGTGGTGTACCACACACTCATACATACTACATAGAGACTGAAAATCCGTGGCGAGAGCAACACACTGTTGTAACTTAAGCAGCCGAAATCAACTAACCATTCAGCCGAAATGAGCGGTGGCGAAATGGAATATGCGCCAGCGTTTGAAAAGCAATTCGTCTGAGCTACCCCTTTTCATATACTCGTATATACATACGTCCTACCAAATTGATGGCTCGACAAAAGGATGTGCGCATAGTAGGCATGTCCTTGCTATGCACTGCATGTTTATTTGAGTATGACTGGTGTTGCGACTGTGATTAGCATTCCGGGCATACATCTTTGGCACATAAGTACAGACACACATATACATAAACAGCAATGTGTGTAGAAATAAATGCAGAGCTACAAACTCACATGTATGTATGTATATAATTTCAAAAATATTTGTTATAATCAACGTATACATGCAAGCTATGGCTCAGCTGCTATTTCGCTTACACTCATGTACAAAATAATGACAGTAGTTCCGATTTATTTGATGTCTTTGGAAAATTAGAAATAAAAAGTTTTTATTTTCGCAAATTAAGACTTTATTGTGAAAAAAATGATTTTATTTGTCTAGAAACGGTTGCTTAGTCAACTCCTAAAACGTTTGCAAGTTCTTCTTGTGTCTGGCATGCCTTTGCGTCAAGCAATGTCTTAAATTCTTTGTCTCGAAATTTGTTTGGCTGTCCGTATCGATCTCCGTCATCTAAGTCGAAATTGCCAGTTTAAACCTTGCAAACCACTTTTGGCACGTTCGTTGGGCTAAAGCTTGGTCACCATAAACGTCCAGTAAAATACGGTGGCTTTCGGTAACACTTACTTCATTTTAAAGTCATGAGAAAGAACTCCCTGCAAAAAATTTCGACATTTTCAAATGTATGAAACAAATGAGATCTTCTGAAACGACAGCACCTTTGAAATGAATATAGCCACAGATGAACACAACGCGAAATAATACTATTGTAGTAGAGCCCTCTCTTTGAAAACCACACGAATTAACGCATCAACATATTGTCAGAAATTAAGGCATCTTTATAAAATGTAATTCAAAATAAAAGAATTTTATTATTTTAATTTTTTTAAAAAAAAAAAAATTACGATTACTATTATTTAAATAGAATAAAAATAAAAACAAAAATGTAAAGAAAAAATAAAGTAATTTAAATGTCGAAATTTACCAGAAACTGTTTAAAAACTGTATGCGCCTAATATTTGGTCGACCAGAAAGCTCTGTCTGTTTTTGGCATAAAAAAAATACAAATTTTTTCTTACCACCAATTAACTTTATTGAATAATATAATTGCCATTATTAGTAATGAGTAAGCCTTTCTGCGATCTCCTCAAAATCTCAGAAACGGATTTTGCGCCAGCATTGCCTTAACAACAGCGTCCTCGATCACTATGTATACATTAAGCGATTAAATTATAAAACCAAACACGCAATAAATAAACAAGTGCTTACGTGGCGAAAATGATGTCATAGATTCGGACAGAGCTTTCCAGTAGACCTAATATTTTGCCCATGAGTGTAATTCCGCCTTGGTAGTTCTTGTCTCATGCTCATATTATTTGTTATTGTTTTTATTGTTGTAAGCTTCATTTTGCTTGTAGTCCTGCTAGCTGCTTCGTATAACACCAGCAATGCTGAATTTGCAATTTTTTCTTCGCCGTCGTGATGCGTTCGAATGCAGAGTTTGTTGCTTTCGTTATGGCTCGTTATCCCTTTGCAAGTACAAAAAGTGGTCTTTTATTATAGTTGTACAACTTATGCGTATATATATATGTATATATATATGCATATATATATGCTCTGGGTGTCTGTGATGATTCAATGCCATTTTTTATGGCATGCAATGAATAATAGATAAAAAGTAAAGAAGCCTTAGTTCAATCGGCAGCAAGTATTCATATCGAAAACATTGCCTAATTGAGGTGACCCAAGCAGGAATATGTGTATATATAATCAAAAGGGATTTGGGACTTAAGGAAAAAAAAAGATTAAAATATTTCATCATTTTTTTATTCAATATTTTTTTATATAAATTTTTATTTCTAAAGAATTTCAGGATTGAAGTCAGCAAGTGTTATTTATATTAAAATTTCAGCTGAAAATACACATAATATTTTATGGAAGCTATAAAAAATATACACAAGCTCTATGCTTATATCCAAGTCGTGCCAGTTTTCTTTGATCAGTCGTTGACCTGTAAGTAATCGAACTTTTTGAATCATCGAGAGTCAAGTTTTCTGGTGAGCTCTTATTAATTCATGCATACAGATATATAATATATGCATACCGATCATAATAATGAATAAAAAGAGATAGAAAAAAGGGTTTCAATCCATTTTACTGGATTAGTATTGTATGTACAAAATAAAAAATAAAATTTTTAAAATAGAATTCAAAATCAAAACATCTGTATAAAAAATGGATTCAATTAAAGAATTTTTATTTTTATATATACATTGTTTTATTATTAATAAATTCATATAATATTGTATAACACAAGGGTTATCAAAATAAATATATTCGTTCTTCGACTTTATCCGAAACGAACAGCTGTCATTAACGTTCAATCGTTAAGAGATTACATAGGTCTTGAAGGCCAAAAAAAAAAAAAAAAGCTTTTTTTCTCAAATTATTTTAAAAGATACTAAATAAAGTATACAATTTATTTTGTTTACATAAAAAAGTACAATATGTGGACAACATTTGATCATAATTTTAATGAAAAATTGTATAAATGTCGTGAAGTAGACCATCCACAAGAAAGTGCCTTAGCGGGACTCAATCTTTTTCAATTTTTATCTGAAATCAAAATTCAAACTTTTGCTTAAAGTAAGTGAGAAAAATTAAAACCTGAATTTTATGCAGCGCTTTTTACAAAAAACGCCGTATTTTGCCATTTATTGGCTTTTAAAATAAGTTCGAATCAAAGATAAAACAAATCCGTCGATCAAGGACTACAAAAACAGGCTTAAAGAAACTGTGGAAAATTCGAAATCGATCTCTTCAATAGTCGTTGGGAAATTTTCACTACCGATTTCAATAAACTGGTTTTAATAAGAACGCGTTTAAAGTTTCACCATTGGTCAAGCCATGACACGGAGACGGTGGGTTATAAAACTCTCTAATTTCTTCAGTTTCGTCGCGATCGACTTGAAACTTGGGGAAAACATTCCTGACACTTTGTACCTTTATACGAAAAATGATAAAAAAAATGGTTTTTTCTAGTTTTCAAGTCCTATGTAACCCCTTAGCAGATAATGAGTACGTTCAGCGGACTGAGCGCTCTGTAAAAATGCTCTGTGTGCGCTCACCATATTTGTGCTATTTGCTCCTGATTGGTCAACTACTGTAAATCAATTGATTCGCGAAAATTTTAAAGTATTTTTGCTTCAAAGTGCTGTGCTTGTGATGACAATTTACCAGATTTTTGGAATGTAGAATGTTACTTTGCACCAACTGGTTCATTTTCCCATGTCTCCCATTTTTGTGTGAGGTATTTCTTACACGGGGATTTAATGCGAAATATTGATTATCCCCCTGAGCATCAGCTTAATACTAGTAAAATATCAAATCATGTATACCAGTTAACTAGTTATCGAATTAACACCTCGTTGCTGCCAGTTGAGTACTAGTTTGTACCAGCTCGCTCACTACTAGGTATCTTTGTTTAAGATTTCACGTAAAAACAGACAAATATTGATTTGGCGCCATTTGTACATACCAAGCGACCACCAGCGGGTACTGTATCGAATAAATTGAAAGCTGCAGTGCCATCCATCATAGCTAGCTTAGCTGATGTCTCTTCATTAACTGAACCATTTCAAAGTCTCTTAGAGCCGATTGATCGGATGTCTGTTTACGTGAAGAGTGAAAAACCTTGCATAACAATGTCCGGTGGCTAATTGCTTCATGCTTTTTAAGTTTTTGTTTTCTGGCAAATGATCGTCGAAGTAATATGGCTGAACTGCTCATTGTTTGCTATGGAATTTACCATTTTATTTTCCATGCAAAATATTTGATCTATTTGCCCGTTTCCATCCCTGCAACCTTGAACGGTTTGCGATTGGCTACGAGACTACATGGTGCCCGCCGTTATATATGCGGGTTTCGAAGAAGTAAAAACAACTAAAATATGTTCCAAGTGCAATCAATTTATAATGCATTCTAAAGAACCAAAATTCTGTACTGTATATGAAAAGTGATTTCAAACCGACAGTTTACACGAAAAATATTGCCTGCTAGTATTTTTATGTTATGCCATATATATTTTTCCCTTTTTATTTTATTTTGTTTAGGGTTCCTTTAGTAATACATATAACTCTTATTCTATAAGGAGAATACACCAAATTTTTCAAGTTATTTTTTTAAGGCACTCGAAAAAAACTGACATTTTCTAATGCACGAAATTTTTTAATACCACAAAAATATTATTTAAAATAAAAAATAATTAAAGAAAGTAAAATTTCACATCAATACTTCTTTTTTTATGTGAGATCCTGCAAAATGAAGTTTACCCCACTAATGTAGCAACGTAAGTTAAAAAAGCGAATGCATATAAAGGTTAAACACTGTTCAATTAACTTTGTGTGAATAAAATTTGCGCTTACAGTTCTTTGATCTCCTTTATCAACCAATATTCGTATATTTCTGAATTCTATGAATTTTTTTTGGAGATATTCATAAAAATAAACACTAAATATTTTCTGTAGCGAACTAAAAATTCAATTTGAACCTCAAGCGACGCAAAATGTGTCGATTTTGGAGATTAATTTAAAAATCAAATTTTAAGGTACGATTGTATTTTCAGTTCCAAACGAAAGGAAATAACATCCTTCATCGCTAGCTGCATAAATATTTGGCAAAAAGTGTACAGTATTCTCTGAATATTGCAAATTTATTTGTTTTTTTTTTGTGTGCACAGTGAAATACGTGATTTTTTTTTAAATTTTTCGATATTATTTACTCTTTTAACAGAGAAAGAAGATTTATAATGGATCCTTCTTGTTCAGGTAATTTAGTAAATTGAAAGTGATTCCAATTGCTTGATACATGTCTCAGAGAGTTTAATTTTTTTTTTACGCGAAAGCCTTAAATTACAGGGGTTTTGATCTGATGTGCAGTTGTGAGTTAAGGTGGGTAAGGCAAACCTTGTTTCATTTCTAAAATCTATGGCTATAGTAGTTTCTTTATATAAATTGCGCACATTCCAAGTATATGCATTTCTTAGTGCAAACCGGCTTTGTTAAATATACACGAATTTCTCAAGGCAGAGCAAGCACAAATACAAGAAGCTCAGGAAGCTCGAAGCAAACACTTTTAGAGTATATTTTTCTCGCAAATGCAGCATAAAAAAAAGCAAAAGAAAACATATTCAATAGATTTTTAATAAATTCTCACCCTGTTTATCTACCAGAAGAAAATTACAACAAAAAAGTGCAGGATTTGCCGGAAGAATCCTTGGAGATGATAGTGTTGGAGAATGGCAATAATAATGAAGTTGATGATGATGTTGATTATGGCGATGAAGACAATTCATATGATATGGTGGTGAATAATCAGTTTTTATGTTTTAAATTAAATTTGAACCTTAAATAAATAAAAATTGTTGAAAACCGATGTTCACCATATTTTTGTTTTTTTTTTATGATTAAAAAAAAAAATGGTTCAAAATAAATGTCATTGCATTAATTTTTTACTTCTGTATGATTAAATAACTAAAAAAATAATAATTTTTCCGTAAGTAGAAGAAGTAAAAGTGTGGAATTAAGCTCCATTGCTAGCACCATTTACCCCACTGTTCGAAGGATGACGACCTTATGCTAGTTGACTTGGAGTAGAACTTTAAAATTAATGTAATTGATTTCGAAAATACATACATTTACAGGCTTACTTTTCTAATAATTAATTCAGTGCTTTGTACCCTTAGTTACCATCTGACGTCAGGATGATGAAGTAATTTGTTTTTTGAAATTTGTAATTTACGATTTCTAAATTGCTCATGAACAGAAGCCTGATTTTTTCTTGTTAATACTTTATATATGTATAATCGTATATGTAAATATGTAAAAATATTTAAATTATCTTAATCCTTTTAGTTTTTCTTTTACAATAATCAGTACTTGGCAAGAAATTTAAGGTGCTACTTAAAATCTTTTACATACACATATACATACATACATATATACACTTATAAATCTTTATTTGCACCACCAGTTCAGCTGGCTTACCTGGAAGCAGTCCAGAACTTTTGTTACACCGAAGTACAAATTTTTTTCTCTTGCTATCTTACCTTTGTCACCAGCCAAGTTTAGTCGTTGCACTTAGCTCTCTTAGCCACTTTGGTGATGTACTGCGCCATTTTAGCTCCTGACAGTTGGCTTTTCGAATGTTGAATTTTTGGTTGGTTGTAATTTTTGGCCGGATAAAGTGTTCTTTGTGGCAACAAAGTGTGAAAAAAAACGATAATGCGTTTTTTACTTTTGAACCTAAGTCGAAGTAGAACAAGGAGAAATTTATATTTACGAGAATTTCTATATATGTACATATGTTAGATATATTTTATTTAAAAATAAATGCATTATCTTCATAATTTTTTTTTTTTTCATTCTAAATATAGCAAAGTGACAAAATTTATGCCAATATATATCTATGTACATACGTGCATACCTACTTAAATACTTTGTTCGAAGTGTAGGTGCTGCAAAATCCTTTGCGTTGCCATATGGCTGCATACATGTATGTATGTGGGCATATAGTCACAGTAGATACGTGCAAATTCTACGAGTTGTATATATTTGCACACGCACACACTTACCTTGCGCTGTGGCGTGATGGTTGTAAATTTTTATAAGAAGTAACTTTTTTCGCGCCAGCGCTGCTGCAACGCCTCGCAATGTGGCAGTGGCACATGTTTTCTTCATATCTGGCAACATTTATTTTTGTCGCCAAAAAAATATTCCACCGATTTGCTTTATTTTTAGCAGCTCGCAGCTCGCAGCTATAGCACCTTTATCGCTTTACCACCTTCGCAGTGTGTTTAAGTTAAGTTAGCCAGGAAAAAAAACGAAGTCGAACTTTTTTCCATAATTTATTTTATACATTTATCCTGTGCTTCGTTACCTTCTTGCAATTTATTTTTATTTGTAGGAATTTTCTTTCATTTCTTTGGCATAGTTTTCAGTGGAGATTTTGTGGTTTTTGATGCTTTATACATTTTACGTTGTTGCTGCTGCCGTTGTTGTTGTTGGTTATGCGTTTAGCGCTTCCGCTTGATTTATGCTTCCAGCTGAAAACGTGCTTTATCATATTAGAGTGCATTAAGTGCCCCAACATTATATCATCCATATACATATATATATAGGTAAGTTTTTCCATACTTCTACTCGCAAGGCTATTTATGTGCGCCTTATTGTGAGGAATTACGTGGTTTTATGGAATAGCAAGGTTTTAGTTAATTAAAAAAAAAAGTTATTCAAAATAGACTTTTTTATTTGATTTTATTTAAAATTATTATCAGTAAATAATCCAATAAAATGACAATATTTCTCAATTTCTTTTTTTTTTAATTTTTGAGCCGATTTTTTTAAAACAAAGTGCCTTAGAATTTACGTATATATTTTCTTTTCAAATCAGTGAATTTTTAAGAGCTATAGGAAAGCTTTAAAAAAAAACACATAAAATTGAAGAAAATGCTTGAAATCTTTATTTGAATCGATAGTACGGTTCATATAATTTAATGTTTCACGCAAAAGTTGACTGTGATTGCGCCTCAAATGGTTTCCAACACTTCGGCTGGTATGTCACGAATAAATGCTTCAATTCTGTCCTCCAATGCCTCAATTGATGCGGGCTTGTATACACATTAGCTTTAACATAGCCCCACAAAAAGTAGTCTAAAGGCGTTAAGTAGCACGATCTAGGTGGCCAATTGAACGGTCCCGTACGTAAAATTAACTGTTCACCCAACTCGCCTCTCAATAAGTCCATTGATACGCGTGCTGTGTCAGGCAAGTCAAGCTCTTGCATTTTGGCCAAAAACAAAGTTTGATATCATCTCACGATAACGCCCACCATTCACAGTTACGTTACGATTCTCATCATCTTTGAAGAAGTGCGGTCCAATGATGCCACCAGCCCATAACCCGCACCAAACTATGACTTTTTCTGGATGTATTATTGGCCTTTGGTGTACTTCTGGCTGATCTTCAATCCAAAGTCGACATGTCTGCTTAGTTACGCACCCCTTAAGCCAAAACTGAGCTGACACTCGCTGAACTGAAGAAGCACGGTGTGAACTTTCTTAACAGAGCACGCATTTTGATAACAAAATTCAATAATTTGCAAGCGTTGTTCGTTTGTAGGACGATTCACGGTTAAAGTATGGACCAAACTCTATTTGTTTGACACAAACACGAAATGTGCGTCAGCTGTTTAAACCAAAAAGATAATAGCTGAAAAATTACCCTTCATGTTTTAATTAATTTCAAGAATTACGAGCTTTCTTAGAATCTAACTACCAAACCAACTAAATAAAATTCCAGTGACTTTTATCTCATACTTTCGATCGCATTTATATATGTAAATAAAACTGCCTCTTTTTCCTTATCTTTCTTCCGCGTATTTTTATACCATTTAAGTAAATGAAATGACATATCAACTTTAGTCCAAAATATTTAAGTACAAGAAGAAACAGAGAAGATATACCCATCAAATTGTATACCGATATTATTAGGACGACGATCTGAGCTAATTTGCTCGTAGCTACTTAAGTACAGCTGTTTATAGGCAGGAAAGTCCCTAAGTTTTTAAGGTATTTCAAACAAACTTGGCACATGCATGCATAGATTGTTTAGTAAACGCACAATACGGTATAATTGTGGTATACATAATCCTCCAACTATACTCAAGAATTCCAATAGATATAATTTTATTTCCCGACCCCGTAATCTCTCGTCTTGGCGATATCAATTGACACCGAGATCATCCAATTGCTCGTCCAATATGTGCCGAAAAGTGAACGAAAATTACTTGAAACGGTTCAAACACAAAAAAAAAATTGAATTTCATTAAAATTATTGTTTACGTACTACATTTTATAAATTGTTTGGCGAAACTGGCCAGATGGGATGACTATAACATATACGAGTATACAACTGATTTGTTTAGATATAAACGATATATCGACGTATTTCTTAGATCTCAGAGATCACTATAAAATGATTCGTTATATCAGCAGTTTGGGATGGCGCGTCGTCATAATGTAAAAAGTAGCACCGAAAATCGTCTCTCTTCCTGTTTTCCAACAAGTTATTGAAACATTTTTGTAGCACTCATGGGTGTACCATTTTCCATTTACCGTCTGACCCTTTTCCAGTGGAATAGCAGCTACGATTTTGGATCGGGTGAAGTAAACTGGAATCATTACTTTTGTTTGGATTTTACGGGTGGGTTTGCTCCTGTTGGCATTCATACGATGGACTGCTGTTTGGTTTCTTCATCTTAGTTATAGAACCAAATTCGTCACTAGTAACGACTTTACTGAAGCTGCTAGACTGACAACGTTACCAACAAATTTAATAGTTTTCGACAAGGTCGAAAGATGAGCTAGTACAATAAGGATTGCCGCATCGCAAGAGAGGGGAAAAACTAATTATATGCGAGGGAGCATTTTTATGTTCGTGGAATAGCTTATAAGGGATGGAGAATAGAACAACAAGTTATTTTCCCTTGCAATATATTTACCTGCAAGACCAAAAACTTTTTCAGTACAAACATTTTTTTTTGCCATCATAAAAAATGTTTTCCTTTATCTTCAAACTACGCCGAAACTGCCTCGTTGTCTTCGTAATCGATGATACATTTTTTACTCTTCAGATCTTATTTCATTTTTAGAAAGAAGTAATAATCAACCGGTGCCAGTTCTGAAATGTGGGGTAGGTGTCGCGAAATATCAAAGCCCACCGTCTGCGTGGCAAAAAACGCTGTTATTGTTTTCGGGCGCTTTGTCATGTAAAAAAAGCACACCTTTTCTCAATTTCCCTCGCATTTTTCCTTTAGTGACTGATTTTGGTAACTTCAATATTCAAGCGCAAGTATTTTACAGTTAGAGGAAAATCTTAGTTTTTATAATCGAGCAATAATAGATCTTTCGAGTCATGAAAGACCGTTGCAATGAGTTTCCAATCGACAGATGAAACCAAGTTTCGTTTCCAGTAACAATTCCTTCCCTTGGTTATAGACATCCAACTTGTGCTAACCTTGGCGTTACCTTATTATGTATTATTTTCAAGGTTCATCATTGTCTGAATACAAATAAAATACAACGTTAGGGCTAGAAAAGAGGTTTTTGTGTCTTAATTTTTTATTCAGATTTAAATGTTGATAGTGATTACATTAAGACTTGCGCTGAGAGAATGTTTGGCAAGCAGGAACGGTCATTTGATCAACATTTAACTGGTGTGAAATCCAGATATTTATTTATGGCAAATGATCGTAGAAAATTTAAAAAATGGATGTGTGGGATGCTCTCTGTGAGTTGTGTTTTTATTAGTCGAGCAAAGTCGAGAACAATTTTTTCAGTTTATTTATGAACCAGTGAACTCGTTACGATTCTAGTGAGCCTAATCACCGCCCTACAACCTGCTCGTTGCGCGAACATAAAAACGCTCTTTCGCATATCGCGATATTGCGTTCTGCTCCAACACGTGTTGTATTGAAATTGAGATGCAATTGCAGAAAATTCAAGAAAAAAAAAAACGAAGTCAGTTTGAAGAACTTAGAAAGTTGGCTGACAGAAAGAAAGATTCTGTTGTCTCATGAGTATATGCCTTGATAATAAAACGAAGGTCTTTTAGTAAATGAGAATAAGACGTAATATCTTCTGTTATCAAACGAATAGTCAAGGCCACTTTAAATCGAAATAATTTCAAGAAAGAAATACCAAGTGCAATGTCAACCATAAAGTCGAACGGAGAATATCTCTCGTTTTGAAAAGTAAAGTCCTCTCTTGACAAACTGAGACAAAGTTCTACAAGTCGCCTCCTTCTATATGGTGCAGGTGATTACTAAAGTTTAAGGGTGGACTTTTTGGCACGAGCTGTATGAGAATTCGACATAGCGCAGCGCATTTAGAGGCAATGACTGCGACTATATATTGGTATATGCATTTCCATTCATATAATTATAAAGTATTTTCGCTGTCCGTTTTTCTCGGTATAATTAAATTAATAGACCACAAATATCTTCCTAAGGTAGTAGTCTACTTTAGAACCCGAAAAAAAGCATCTTTCAGCAACTTTTTTCAACTTTTTTCATACTAAAAAAATAATCGTGAGATGCATGTGAAACAATCGAAAAAATTTTTATTTTTTATTTATATTTTTATGAATTTCTTTTCACTATGAACTAAAAAAAAAACAGAGCAAGTTGAAAAATTGCAAAAAAATACTTTTTTTTAATACTTTTGTCCAACTTTTTCAGTTCAAAAAAAAAAATTTTTTTAATACTGTAGCTAGATCGCTTTGTTTTTTTTCGATCAGACTTCTATTGCTATTGTAAAAAGGTGAAATCGGAAAAACGCGCTTCAGAGTTATGCCACTAAATTGCTCTAGATTCTTAACAGTTTTACAGTAGATTTAAGAGAAATAAAATGCATTTTTTAAGCCTTTAAAACAGATTACGGCCTTACAGCGGAAACTTCGTAAAATTTTTGCCTTGGAATATTTAGAGAATGTTCTCCTCTTATCTCTTAAATGCGTTTGGTTTTGAATATCTTTTTTTTTCTGCTCCTCGAGCAAAATGTTTTCCATCCTCTATGTATTTACCAGAAGAAAGCTAATAGCACCAATTGACTACTGTTGTTGCTCATCGCGCTTAACTCGAATATTAACTGCAGCCAAAAAAGCTTCAACATCATTCAAGAAAAAAAAAAAAAAAAAAAAAAAAAAAAAAAAAAAAAAAAAAAACCAGCAAAGGCAACGCCATAAATTAAACAATTTACTCAATTTTTTTTTCAGCAGCATTTAGCATGTATATCTTTTTATTTTTTACTTTTTCCTCAACAAAGTTTTCGGTGATGC